CACCAGCCGAAACAAGGCTAGACGAGCCCTCGCAGGGTCACTAGTGACCATGCGAGACTACCCGGCAACTGGCGACACGTCGTTGAGTTACTCGGGTGTCACCCGTCAGGGGATGAACAGGTCGCTTAGGAACGCGGGGTCTCGCGGGATCTCGCGAGACTCCTCATTTTTTGCGTGTCGCTCGCGCAGCTCTACAAATCCGGTGTTACCCAAACTGGCATAGAGCGAAACATGCAACATCACCAACAACCACTACAACCAGTCGGTCATGGCGCCGTCCTACCAGGCAACCGCCTCACCTTTAGACATTAGCTCCGCCGCTGCAAAAGTGAATTATGACGATGTTCAGCTGCCAAAATATGCTGTAACAAGACGAATGACCAATGTGAGACCACTGTCGGCCAGTAGTCTGTACCCCACCATTGTTGGCACACGGACACCTACCAATGGGTGGCTGAACACAACATCATTACAAACTGTATGATATGACCATTCATGTACACTATACAAGTGGGTCTGTCTACAGACACGCTGGGGTTGCCCTTGAGATCCTCGGGGAATGGTCACAGGTGCAGAGTCTGGGGGGCTTATGGGCGCAATTACCTGCTTCTTAACAAGCCCTTTTAACTCAGTGGTTAGTGACTAAGTTCTGACAAAGTCCATCCTTGTTAGGAGCTTGTGTACCGCTGCGGGCATGTATCGTATGAAGGGTCTCTCCTTGCTGTCGTGACGGACCCTTGGACTTGGTGTTCGGTTATCAAGAGGATTGAATGATTCAGGGAAATGTGGTGAGGGGTACAAGATTAGGGTTGTACCCTCAAAGAACTGACCTACAGGGCTATATACATATATAACCTAGCTAACAAAAATTATATTAGTTGACACTTGTGTTTGTTCGATAGTCGGTCAACAGTCAACGACCGTTGCACTTCGTGCTTCGTGTTATAAGCTTGGACTCAACAAGGGTTGCGGCCCGAGTGTCACTTTCTGGAATGCGACAAATTCCTTATCATCACACTTGTCGAGTCCAATCTCAGGACGCTCACGCAAACCACACTACTGCTAGTCAATCCTGAATATGAAGGAGGGGTGATTTGAGACAGTTCATATTCCTCAGACTATTCTTGAAATTTGGGTTGTTAATTGGTGGGGCATCTCATCATCCCAAAGCTACCACAATGCCATTTTTATATTGTTGGTTTACTATTGCGACATGAACACATGACGGTTCAATGTTTCCAACCGCGGGACCCAACTTATGGGTGTAGAACCCCGTTACTTATATTGGGACCATCCATCACGTGTTCCATTTCGCGAGGGTGCCTGCGTCCGTATGCTGGCGTATGGGAGAACGCGTGGACCTTCGCGTGTTCTCGCGGCAGGAACAGACTCATACAGTCTGATTCCGCGGGAAGTCGCGTGGTATCACATGGCTCCCCCCTCCCCTTGCGTGGTTCCGCGGGGTTTCGCGTGAGTCTACCTTGCCGGTGTAGTAGTGCACCCTAAATCTCGTTTGTCTCAAATCACCTAGCATCAAAAGGTGGATACAGTCATTGCCCAGATCGGTTCTTATCACATTGTGAAATAGAATTTCACATTGCTCTCGACCAAATATGGCTTAGTATGGGAAAAAAACACATACGAGAATGGGTTGATCTAGCCCTTTTGAACTGCCTCAGGGTCTTTAAACAAACTTCAACACATCCCACAGCGTCACCTGAACATCTGTGAGTTCTCAAAGGAAACGGAAACTAGTCACGTGCTCACGACGGTACAGGACCAACATTTGCTTCAATGCACTAGTCTTTTTGGCCTCCATAGAACAGCATGGAATGTGTATGGCATGGGGATCATTTGAGAAAGAAAGAAACTTCGTAATATGAGGGTGAAAAAGAAGGCAGGAGGAGAAGAGGACGTGACGGATAAGGATGTTACCAAATAGCAATAAGAAGGCATGCACAGATGAGGGTATACAAACATGAGGATCCACGAGGTGACTTTTGAGTCGACTCAAAGGACAAGAGAACGTGATGGATACGAATGTTACCACAGGACAATAAGAAGGCATGCACAGATGAGGGTACAGGAATATGAGGATCCACGAAAACAAATGTACAAGGTTACGAAGAGTGCGAGGACATGTGAGCACAACAATGAGAATGTCAGAAAATGGGAGCATCCGAATACCATGGCAACAGGTGCACAAACATCCTATGTTCAAGGTCTAAGTGCATCCGCTCCAAAGAAACAAAACACTTATTCATCATTTAAAAAAAAAAGAGGGAAATAGTCAGAGATAACAGTGCTGTCAAACTATTATGGAAACATCGGCACTGCTGGACATGAACACGTGTTAACAACATGAGAATTCCGAGAGCCAAAGTACGATAACGTGAAAAAAACTCTTCAGTAAGGACCAAGAAAGTGAAGGAAAGAAGAGGGGAGAGGGGGGGAGTAGGGAGTGGATTCTAGAAGCGCGAGGAAAATAGTCATAACAGACAGCGTGGGTGGATCTGGAGAGGAAATATGAGCAAAGTTAGGATGGACCAGGCGGATGGGATGCGCTGGTTGAATTAACGAGGCGTGGAAGAGACAAGGGCGAGCGTTCGAGAGACGGAGCCTGTCCCGTCCTCCTAGTCTCTTGAACAAGGAGTAGTCCGGTAGGGCTAGGAGGATGGGACGCATTGGTTGTAGAGGTGGGAGGTGTTACAAGGCGAAAGCGAACTCACCCAAAAGTTCGCCAACTCAGCGAACTGTAGATTTCGAGGTTGGATTTGTCCAACCAAAATCGTGCGCCTCGAACTGAACAATTCCTCAACCCCAAATTTGTTCAGCTGCCTGTGAGTCACAGCACTACTCTAGAGCAGATTCCGAGAGCCAGCAAAGCATGGAAAGCGCCAGCGCAACCTAGAGATTAACTACTGCAGCTACTACAAGCGCCAGCGAAGACTACAATCGACATGTACAAGGTGACGAAGACACCAGCACTACTTGGAAAATGAAAACTACTTGTATAGTTAATTTCTATGCTTGTTTAGCTATTTCCTAGGAGAGACAACAAGGCAAGGCTACTTGTAAATAATCATGAGCTTGCTTGCTTGGTCAGAAATGCCAAGGCGCCATGGGCGACCTTATCTAGGCGCCTTCAGAAGTACCAAGGTGCCAAGAAAGCTTTCCTAGTATAAGTGTGCTCTCTTCTTTGTTTGAAGCTATCATATGATCTATTGATTATGCTAGCACTCTTTCTTCAAGGATCCCTCAACCTCTACTCCTACTAACAGCCCCAGAGCTGTTATAGGAGGAGACAAGCACGAGGGTTCGAGAGACGGAGCCGGTAGGACAAGGAGTGGTCAGTTAAGGACGGACAGGGAAGAGGGAGCGAGAGTAGGAGAGCAGGGCAAGCGGCGAAGTGGATGATAGGAGGTACTAAAGGGCGAAGTCGTCAAATTCTCCGAAAACAATTTCTGGTCTGAATCAGTGCGTTCACAGATCAGCATCAAAGGACACTTTTTGGTGTGACAGATTTTCCATACCTGCGCTTCAGGAGGCCTTCGATGGGACCACGGCCGTGCTGGTAGATTACAGCTGGCGGATTAAATCGTCTTGCACGACATCGCAAGAGCAGCCGTCGGTGCAAGAAGATTAAAGCTCAGCAAGTCGCGACGAGGAAAACCTGCCTTAGAACCTGCCGAATCTTCGTGCTATGCTTGTCGTGACACTGCACGGGAGTTATGAGGAGAAACGGCAGGGGGTGTGGAAGGAGAGGAAGTGGGAAGACAACTACCGAGGAAGAGAAATAGCTGAACAGCGTGCCAGGGAGCGGCGACGAGGAGTCTTCCTTCTGAAGCGCCTAAAAAACAGACAGCGAGCAAGGAAGAGGCGAGGGGGAGGCGGATGCGAGCATGGCCGACGAAGAATGGACGAGAGGAAGGGGGGGAGAGCGAGAGCGGAGGAGCCGGTGAGAGAGATGGGAGGCTGCGAACACCGTAACGCGCGTATGAGCGCCGAAACTTTTTCAGCGTGACGTCGACACGCTGCTAACCAGAACCTCAGTTAAATCAAGGATCGACAGTACCGAGTTTCGTTGATGCGTTGCCGACACGACACGACACGACACGAATTGACATGGCGGTGATGGGCGTGAGATGCGGTGGAGTGAGTGGGCAAGTAGAAGGGAAAGCAATGGGACAGCAACATTGGGAAAGCAGAGCCTCATGTTGTCAACACCTTGAGATTCACATATATAAGGTTTTGTGTAGAATGTGTGGCGCACCATTGTCGCATGAGTTGTAACGGGGAACCACTAGCCGAACCTTTGGCGTAACAGGTTTGGGGAGGGAGGAAACCTCGCTGTGCTTTCTGCGACAGTCTTCGGAATTGACGTCTGGCTTGCTTGCGACACAAGAAAACGACGTCGGTGCAGCGACAAACCGCTCGGATTGAAGGAACCAATCAGTGCACGTCGCCACGCCATCCCACGACCAGAATTCGACCTTGGCTTGGCAGTGTCGTCAAGCAACTATCACAACAAGGCGTCAGCGTCACGGGGACGAACGAAATGGCCATGCGAAGGCTCGCTGCACCTTTCCTCGACCTTAGTTCGCTGCTTCCGACGAGACTGACTGACGTCTCAACGATGACGATCAAGTGACTGCTGCGGGCACACGCGGGGCAGCACAGCACAGCACCAGTCGCACAGTGGCAGTTGCGCTGCTGGGAACGGCGGGCGTTTCGCCCAACCAAGCGACTGGCACATGTCATTGGCGGAGGGAGGGACTGGAAGGCGCGAGCGTGAGCCAGAAGCAACCAGAAGGGCTGCGGGGCGGGGCGGAGCGAAGCGGCTCGTTCTGGAAGCAGGGAGAAAGCCCCCCATGGGCCCGTGACCCGTCGAATCGTCTCGTCGTCGTCAGGCTCAAGCCAACGTCGTCTCCCCTCCCCCCCACAACCCAAGCATCGTTGGGTGTAAAAAAGCAAGCAGTGAGGCACGATTTGTGTATTCAAACAGAGCCCACAATTCAGCCCGTTATTCGTGTGCGACAGACAGCAGTAGCTGCTTCAATAGCTCGCCGAACCTGATCTAGGCCAAAGGGCACTCGATATTTCGTAGCACTCTTCACTCTGTCAGAATTGGTTGAACAGAATGGCGTATGCTTCTCTGCAAGCACCGTCAGGACACAGCAGCGCTCGCCGTACTCGCAAGTCTCAGACTTTGAAGTCGCAGAGAAATCCGCAGCAGCAGGCCGGCGACGCCTCGTCGCAGCCTGACTCGCAGCCTCGATGGGTCAACCAAGCCCAGGATCTCTGCTCGTCGCCGATGTCGCCGGTCTCGCCGACGTCGCAGAATCAAATCCTCCCATTTCACACAGCCCGTCTAGACGACTTTTTCTCCCTAGACTCTCGCGTTCTAGGATCCGGGCAGTTCGGCACCGTGCGTCGCTGCACCGAGATGCTCTCAGGCGGCCGATTCGCGTGCAAAACGATCTCCAAGAACCGGCTTAGGACCGAGGCGGAGCGGGAGGAGGTTCGGCGGGAAGTAGCGCTGATGCAGCGGGTGGGCGCAAGCGGAGCGGCGGAGGCGGGGGAGGCGCACCCGGGGGTGGTGCAGCTGCGCGGAGTTTTCGAGGACGAGGATTCGGTGCATCTGGTCATGGATCTGTGCGACGGTGGCGAGCTGTTCGACGAAGTCGTGCGATGTGGGCGACTGAGCGAGCGCGACGCTGCGACCGTGTTCGCGCAGATCGCATCAGCCGTCGCACACTGCCACGCGCGCGGCGTTCTCCACCGCGATCTCAAACCCGAAAACATCCTGCTCACGCGCGACCCCTCTGCACCGCGCTCAACCGCACCCCTAACCACGAAACTCGCGGATTTTGGCCTCGCAGTTCCCCTCGACTCAGGCGATCGCGCGATTGGCGTCGCAGGGTCGCCGTTCTACATCGCACCTGAGGTTCTACTCGGCGCATACGCATTCGAAGCCGACGTGTGGTCGTTGGGCGTGATCCTCTACATCCTGCTGAGCGGCGCGCCGCCCTTCTGGGGGGCGACGGATAAGGACGTGTTCGTGGATGTGCTTAAAGGGGTAGTGGACTTTAGCGGGGAGGAGTGGGACGGAGTGTCGGAGGAGGCTAAGCGGCTCGTGCTGTGCCTGCTCCAGAGGGACCCTGAGAGGCGCCCCACGGCCGCACAGATTCTCTCCCATCCCTGGATCCTGCGGAATTGCCACGCCAACGTGGCAGGTTCGGAGGCAGGTTCGGGTTACCTTGTGGTGGGTGCAGGATCGGAGGTGAGGATGAATGTGGAAGCAGCTGCTATGGTGGTGTGAGAAGGGATGTGGCGTAGCGTGGCATGATCCTCTAAGGTCCAAGATAGATTGGATTTCCCAGTGAGACACAGTCTTAGGCTGTATTGCTTGGCCTGACAATCAGTGTAGAGACATATAGGGCACTAGGTAGGCCGTTTGCATGGTTGGCAGCTCTGCTAGCTGCTGAGTCATGTACATGTATTTATTACTGTGTCGGTCAATGCAAGAGCTTACTTACTCACTGACAGGAAAACATCTGACACCCTCTCAGGGTCTAACGCCAAGTGAGTGACGCGACCCTGTAGGAATTTGCCCTCACACATAGCACACATGTTCAGAAACGCTCTCTGATGTTCACACACAGATGCCTGCCCAAGATATGTGCAACCCATGCCCACAAACACACAGCCATCAATATACACATCCTCACAGCCATCCATTTACGCATGCTCACAACTGTGCAGAGATTTGTCCATGCATTCACACATATGCATGCATGTACAAACATGCATACATCCAAACCTGCACACGCCCATGCACACACCCATGCACACACCCACGCGCACACCCATGTGCACACGAATGCATAAATACAAACAACCATGCATGCAGACACATGCACACGCACCCATGCATGCTCACAACCAAGCACAGCCACGTGCACACCCACATGCACACCCACATGCACACGCACCTCTGCACACGCACAAACACTCACAGGCACATACAAACACCCATGCACACACAGACATTCACACATACAAACACCCATGCACACACAGACATTCACACATACAAACTCCCATGCACACACAGACATGCACACATACAAACGCCCATGCATGCTTCCACAACCCGTCCCACACACAGACACAGAGTAACGAAATACCACAGCGTCCTGTACACATGCCATGCCGCTCTGAAGAACAAGTGCTTACTAGCAGCACTAAGTGGGATCCACATTATGCAACACAACAGATGTCACACTGCTGCCTAGCGCATCCACCTGTATAAAAGCCGGCACATCCGGATACTCCTGAGACGATACCATTGTGTTGTTCTCAGTGGCCGACGTGCGAAACACCTCAAACGCACACGCCTTACTCCCATCAGCCCGCACAAAATCCTCAAACTGAAACGTCGCAGAGTGCGTTACGTTATGCTGGTTGACGATAAAGACGGACACGAAGTGCTGGTCCGGGTTGAAGAAGGTGGTGATGCAGTGCTGGCACCCGTCTGCCGCGTCGATCCGCAGGGGCAGGCTGCCCCTCGGCGCCCCCCGCACAAACTGCTGCAGCATGTACAGCTTCTTTGAGATCACCAGATCCAACGGCCGAGATTCCGTGTCGCTCAGCCGGTACATCCTGACTGCCATCAGCCCCCACTTGAGAAACAGGTCTGGGTTGGTCCCAACCCCATTAACAGACTGCCAGAAAATCCAAGCCGAAGCTCCCATGATGTTCACTGCTTGGACTATACACCGCGCCATGAACAGCGTAACCCCGATGTCGTTACCGTTCACCCACATGGGTCCTATCTCCGACACCCACACCTCCTTCCCCAGTCCAGTCGCCATGCGGTGCATGCCCACAAACACCCCTTCCATGTACCGCCGGGTGTCCGTGGTGTTGCTGGGAGGCGGCACGTACCCGTGCACATTCAACCTCAACAGCCCCGCTTTCAATGCAGCTGGGAACTTGTACGTGAACCGGAGAGTCGCGCCCACAAAACTATCAAAGCCCGCGACTTTTGTCAGGAGTTTCCGTTTCTTGAGGGTAGCGGAGAGGTGGTTGATCAGGGTGGTCAGCTCCTGCGGGTTGAAACTGCAGCCCTCCTGCCGATGCCCCTGCAGCCACCACCCTTCGAGCGCCTCATTCGCCGGGTTCATTGTCGAGAACGTTACGTTCCAATGCGTGCGGTAATGCTCGATCACCGCCGCCTGATACTCAGTATAAGCTCGAAAGAACTCGGGCTTTAAGTTGCACTGATTCATCTCAGCCGCCCCTGCGGTGTCCCCGCTGACAGTCATCCACCAGGGCGGCGAGTAAGACACCGCTTCCACCTCATCCACGTTCCGGGCCAGGGCGGCGAGCATTGTCCGTCTCTGCCGCCCGTCCGCCATCCAGTCGTAGGGGCCGTTGGGCTGGGGGCGGAAGCCCGGGAGGGCGCGGGTTTCCCAGGCGGCGGTGAGGAACTGCGGGCTGTTGGAGGCGTTGAAGGTGCCGCCTATGTGGTAGCGCGCCAGGTTGAGCCCGATGCCCTTGGCCTTGTCGAACAGCAGGTCCATTACCAGCGAGAACTGCTCCTCGGGTAATTTACCCACGTAGTTGGCAAACCTGGGAGGGTGGGGCGTGGGGCAAAGGGGTATGGGGGGCATGAAGCATGGGGCGTGGGGCATGGGGCATGCAGCACACCGGACCATGATGAGCGTGAAATGGTCCACAGGGAGCTTGCCCACGTAGTTGGCAAACCTGGGGGGATGGCTTCGGGGTATGGGGCGTGGGGGGCGTAGGGACATGCAGCATGAGGCATGAACGGGTGAGCCCGATGGCCTTGGCCTTGTGGACTAGCAGGTCCGTGATGAGAGAACTGGCTGCAGGGGAGCTTGCCCACGTAGTTGGGAAAGCTGAGAGCGGTGGGGTGTGGGGCAAGGGGAAAAAGAGGTACGCCAGGAGACATGAGCATGTCACATGAGACATGGGGCATGGGGCAAGGGGCAAGGGGCAAGGGGCAAGGGGCATGGAGCATGGGGCATGAGGCATGGGGCATGAGGCATGGGCCATGGGGCACGAGGCATGCGGCATGGGCCAAGGGGCATGGGGCAAGGGGCATGGGGCAAGGGGCATGGGGCAAGGGGCACGGGGCATGGGGCATGAGGCAGGCATGGGGCATGTGGCATGGGATATGGGCATGTGGCATGGGACATGGGCATGAGGTATGGGCCATGGGGCATGGGGCACGACGCATGGGGCATGGGGCAAGGGGCATGGGGCAAGGGGCACGGGGCATGGGGCATGAGGCAGGCATGGGGCATGTGGCATGGGATATGGGCATGTGGCATGGGACATGGGCATGAGGCATGGGCCATGGGGCATGAGGCATGGGGCATGGGGCACGAGGCATGAGGCATGGGGCAAGGGGCATGGGGCAAGGGGCACAGGGCATGGGGCATGAGGCAGGCATGGGGCATGTGGCATGGGACATGGGCATGAGGCATGAGACGTGCGGAATGGGACATGGGCATGGGGCATGGGGAATGGGACACCGGGAATGGAACATGAGGCATGAGACGTGCGGCATGGGGCATGAGAGGTTGAGGCCAATGCTGTAGGCCTTTGTCAAACAAATGAGAGAACGGGCACATGGGCAGCTTGCCCATGTGGTTGCGGCCCTGAGAGCGGTGGGAGAAAGGCCGTCAGGAATGGGGCGTGGGGCATGGGGCCTGCGGAACAAGGCAATCCCCATGCCAGCCAAGCAGCCTATCATGCCAGCCAAGCAGCCTATCATGCTAGCTACGCAGCTAAGCAGCTCAGCTGCAAGCTAGGCAGCTCACCAAGCAAGCGAGGTGCCCCATCCCCGCCACGTCTGCCCGTTCCAATCCGGGGCGATGGTGATTGTGGAGGGGGCTGGAGGGAGGGGGAGAAAGGAGACCGGAGAGGGGAGTGAGGAGAGGGGGAATGCACAAAAGAGGGTAGTGAAGGGGCTTTGGTGGTGGTGGAGGGGACATGCGTGAGAAGGAATTAGGGGGCATGTGTGAGAGGGACGTAGCGAAGGGGGATGCGCTAGCCAGGAGATGAGGGTGCTAAGGCGAGGATACTAAGTCGAGGATACTAAGGCGAGGATACTAAGGCGAGGATACTAAGGCGAGGATACTAAGGCGAGGATACTAAGGCGAGGATACTAAGGCGAGGATACTAAGGCGAGGATATTAAGGCGAGGATATTAAGGCGAGGATACTAAGGCGAGGATACTGAGGCGAGGATACTGAGGCGAGGATACTGAGGCGAGGATACTAAGGCGAGGATACTAAGGGCGAGGATACTAGACTGACGATAATTATGTGAGGATAATGGTGTGAGTACAAATATGTGTTGATATTTTTGTGAGGATAATAATGTGAGGATGATAATGTGAGGATGATGTGAGGATGATGTGAGGATGATGTGAGGGATGATGTGAGGATACCGAGGCGAGAATTCACCGTGACCGGCAGTAGCCTGATGCTTACCATCCCCACCTTCGGCCTCCGTTCCTTATTCCACCCCCACCAACTTTATAACGCGGATATCTCACCTCCCGATCTGCACACGCTGATGATCTCATTCGCGGGTTCCAGCCGCGCCTCGTTCCCCCCAGGGGGGACGCTCCCCCCGTCGCCTGGGTCACCCTCATCTGGGCGCGTTGGAGGAGGAGGGGGAGGCGTCCCCTCGTCCGCGGGAGGGGGAGGGGGAGGTGTCGCGCTTTGCGCGGTTACTATGCCCGAGGGCGCTGCGCTTTGCGCTTTTACTAAGCCCGCGGACGCTGCGCTTTTCGCGGACGCGGATCGGAAGGCGGACGTGTCGCGCGCGGATGACGAAGCGGGAGCCACACGCGTGGATGATCCGCCTTGCCCCGCAATGCGCGGCGGCCGCCAGCAGCCTTGCGCCGGCCACAGCAGCATCCACTCCGCGTCACACGCGCCCGCATTGGCGCCGGCAGTGGCGGAAGCCGCCAGAGCGCGCCCAGCGCGCCCCGGCGCGGCAGTCTCCTCACCCGCATCCGCGGACTGCGCAAAACCCGCCTTCCCTCGTACGGACTGCGTCGATTGCCGCCCGAACACGTGGGGCTGACGCGGCGACCGGGGTTCGTCAACGACGGGGAGAATCACGGGCGGGTGCCCGGCGGGCGGGACTGGGGCAGGTGGTAACTGTTCACTGATGGGGATAGGCGGATGGGACGCGGATGAGGAAGCGATGAGCAGGAGGAGGAGGAGCGGAAGCGACGGGCGACAAGAGCTGGTAACTGGTCGAGCGCGAAGTCGCCGGCTTCGCGAAGGGATCATAACGAATGCGAATTTTCGTTTTTTTTTTTTTGTCACGAAGCCCGATGAAGCTGACCAATCGCGCGTTTGAGCAACGTACGGACTGCAAACTACAAACTCGTTTGCCACGGCACAGCTGTCACCGTTTCAGATTCGTTGTACCGCGAATGATCATGCTTCGCGAGACTATCTTGCGTCCACAGGGAAATCTCGTTCCGTCGTCAGGTGCCACCGCTGCTGCTGCTGCTGCTGCTGCTGCTGTTGTTCGTCAACTCCAGTAACTGACTACGCGAATTCACGAGGACGATAGGTTCGGACCTTGAGTGCACTGCAGGAAGCAGAAAGCAGGAAGCACTTCCTGCAGTGCAGACACAGGTGTAGGTGGAATACTGACAGACAGGAGGCGAAGGGGACAGAAGGTAGGGAGGAGCGAGGGTAGGGGGGGGAGGGTGGGGAGAGTAGTAGGTAGTGTTCTTCGGTGCTGTTTCAACTTAGGGTCAGTGTCGGAGCCGAAGTCGACACAATCGGCTTGACATGAGCCAGAGCCAACCTTAACAGTGGTTAATGCATCGGTGCTTTGTACCGAGTCGCACAAGAACGCCGTTATGGGTTAGCAGAATGGAGACTTGAATGCGACTTTCGGATATTCGGTAGTCACCGAAGGAGGTAACTGCCCTGAAGACCATGCAACGTTTGACCCATAGTTTCAACACACTTTCCCGCGCGTACATTTCTAGCCCAATACACTACCCCGCCTTTTCACACGGTCATTTGATTTCTTTGACACGAAGAGCGTTTAACCTAACCGCAATCACAAGTGCGCGCGGGACACGCCCTCAGCATCGTTTACGGAAGATTTTTCAACAACAATTCGCGGAATAAGAGACACTCTTAGTATGACTCAACTTCTGCTAGTAAATTATATTATAGTGCCGTTTGCAATCACTTTATGTGTAACAGTTATGTAAAAACTGGTCAAATCTGAGCTGTACAGTTCAGACTGGAACTTGATATTCAGGGCGTGTCCAGCGCGTTCGTTTACTATTCACTTTGTTCAGGTACGAAAATCTGACCTGGTAACCCGAAATTTCGTGTCCACTCGGACACGCACGATAAATTGACGGTTTTGGCGGACACCCTCCAAACGTGCCAACAGACGGGGCCGCACGTTTCCGAACCAAATGAAAATCGTGCCCAAAATATATACACGGCAGAAACGTCCAAATCTTGGCTGGCGAAAAATAGAGCGCTTACGTTCGCCAGGCTTTCGTGACGCTTGCGAAGCACGGCGGAAATAAACGGAAGAAGAATTGGAATTCGTCGTGTGTTTCTGTGTTTTTTTCCTCTGGCTAGGGAGAAATTGAGCCCTCCATTTTCCCCCCCGTATATTAAGTCGTAATGCGTGTTCGCGAAAGCGGGCGGGGCCTCGTTCTCGGGGCGAAATTCGGTAACCCTGCTGTTTTCGCGTGTCAGTCTGTTATGTGCGCGCTGCGCACCCGCTCATTTGTCGGGGTACGGGTGGGGCTCGTGTCCTAAGCGTTTTGTTTTATTGCCCATACCCCGCTCTAAGGTGTTATTTGATCTTTTGAAATGCAGTCCACGTCATTCAACCGCATTCGGACGTACTCTTAGGACACGCCCTTAGATCGCTCGATGTCCCCCCACTGACAAGCCCACGAAGCTCGTGTCCCCTTTTCCCCCGTGATCACCCCAAGGCTGGTTTGTGTTGGTCGGTTCGGAACCGAACCGAAACTCTCACCCCCACCGAATGTTGTTGGAGCCATGGCAGCAACAACCTTGAGAGTGTCCTAGCCATAGTACTTGTAGCCAGTGTTCAGTGTTCGCCCAGCTTCACGGTCAACAAGGTGGATCCTGTGAGCTAGTGAGAAGGTAGTCGGACACTATTGCGTCAAAATAATATCGTCGTCTAGCAGCATCGTCAGCTGCCTCATCGTTCTGGATTTTCCGCAATCGCGACCTTGAAATACCCTTTCCCGTCGATAGTGGAGTACCAAGATGCTATTCGCACGATTAGACGACACGCCAATGCTGCGTAAGCAGGTATGCAGCTGCTGTCTGACGTGTTAACGGTTAGATGATGCTCCCTGCCCGCTTCCGCCATGACGAATGCCGTTGCTAGTACGAAATCGAACTAGTATGTTCTAGATTCACCTGTTTTACACTCATCCATCAATGCAACTAGAAGACATTATATCCATCCGTTCATTCGGTGTATATTGCTCGTGTACATCCTCTTTAGGCCAGGATTTTCATGTGCCTTCGGTTTAGTAGTATCGGAGCGGATCTAAAGCGAGAGTAGGACGAGATGTCGTCGCAGTGCTATCGTCCAGGACTCCTGAAGTGTGAAACGGATCGTTTTCTCTAGTTTAAGCGCTGAAAGGTGCTGTTTTCTCCTGTTCCTATAAGTCGGCGCCTGAAAATTTCCGAGAAGCCTCAAATCAGTTTTTTGAGGTGGCTCGAAACGCCTCAAGCGTTGAAAGGTGTTGCGTCTCCGTGTTCCAGCCGCCCCGTGTTCCAGCCGCCCCGTGTTCCAGCCGGCCCGTGTTCCAACCGCTCCGTGTTCCAACCGCTCCGTCTCGCAACCTTTTTGCTCGCTTTCCCACATCCCCTACGTTCCTTCATCACTCTCCTGCGTTCCTCTCCCCGCATAACCCTCCCCGCATAACCCTCCGCGCATAACCCTCCCCGCATAACCCTCCCTGCATAACCCTCCGCCCATAGCCCTCCCCGCATAGCCCTTCCCGCATAACCCTCCGCGCATAGCCCTCCCCGCATAGCCCTCCCCACATAGCCCTCCCCGCACAACATCCGTGTCTACCCATTCCTACACACCTCTCCCTGCATCCCTGGACGGCTGTCCCCGCAGCTGGCGTCGCTGGAGGAGAGCCTGGAGCTGCTGAGGGACCGCTGCTGCCAGCTCGCTCGCAGCTGCAACGACTTCGCGTGAGTGGCTTGCCGTGCCTGCTTCACTACTCCTGCCCTTGATTGCTCTTCACCGCGCCTGATTGTACCACGCGTGATTGTACCACGCCTGCTCTTCCCCTTGGCCACGCCTGCCTGCCCAGCGCGTTGTTTCAAATGCCTCTTAATCCCGCTCCCTCTCCACACCAACGCATTCTGGCCGAGTCATTTGAGGCGGAGAGGGCCTTCGCATGCCATGGAGTGGTTTTCCTGACGCGTCTCCCCCTGACATCCCCCTCCCTCTCCCTCGCATGCCAGCGCATCCCTGGGCGAGTCGTTCGAGGCGGAGAGTGCCTTCGTGCATGCCATGGAGGGGTTCTTCCCCCAGCCACATGCTCCCCATGTGCCCCTTCAGCACCCCCCCCCCCCCCCCCCCTCATATGCTCCAAATGCGCCAGTTCCTTCCCCCCGCCACCCCTCCCGCCACCCCTTTCCCCGAACAACAGCGCGTCCCTGAGCGATTCATTTGAGGCGGAGTCTGCCTTCGTGCATGCCATGGAGGGGTTCTTCGGGGCGCCAGAGGATGCCGTCAGCATCGCCACAGGAGGTGAGTGCTTAGGGACGGCTCAGTCATAAGTCGCCCAAAAGCATCTTGTTTGAGTCCCGAAGCTGGTTACAGCGCCAGAGGATGCCGTCAGCATTGCCACGGGAGGGAAGGCTCCAGTTGACCCCACCCACCCACTGGCAGTCACCCAAAGTTCCTCGAGTCAACTCTACAATCCCTTGGAATGCAAGAGCATGCCACGAGCATTGCAACGGGAGGCAAGGGAGGAGTGTTGGACACCACAGCATATTCTGCCTTTCCTGAACCTGAAACCCTAACCCCAAAGCTGTCCACTCATCTCTCCGCAGGGAGTTTCCGTTCTGTGCTGCGTGCCAGTGCAAGTTCTCACAGCACGAAGCGTGGGACCGAGCCTGATGCAAGCCACATCTCCTCTCGTCCATCCACCTGACCTTGGCTTCTTCAGGCGTCTGAGCGCCTGGTTCCTCCCAGGCTGTGTGTTGCTCAGTCCGTGAGGGCGCTGCACACATTCCAATCATCATGCCACATCACAACGTCCCCCCCCCTCCTCCTCACCTCCCCCCCAAAAACCTTTGTGTCTGGGCAGGCCTTGTGCTGGGCCAATTCGTGAGGGCACTGCACGGATTCAATCATCCCCCCCCTCCCAATCCGCACCCGTGGTTCCCCCCAACACAAAACCTCTGTGGCATGGCATGGCAGGCCCTGTGCTGGGGCAGTTCGTGATGACCCTCCGCGACCTCACCATATTTAAGGAGACGCTCAAATCCCAGGCAAGCATGTTGGGCTCCTGGCGTTGACTTGAGATGGATGCGAACTCATACAGGTCCCCGGGGTTGCTGATTGGAGTCGTACCCGCAGGCACAGAGGCCATTGTACTGCCAGGGTTTAGCGCCCAGGTTTCGGGTTTAGCGTTCAGGGTTTCGGGTTTAGGGCGAACACTCTTGGTTCACACTCTTGCGTTTGCCATGTGTGGCGGCTGTTTCCACTCCACCAGCCGCAAGCACCTTTTGCAATGTACCTTGCATGCCACACGCTCATGTGGACACATCCCTCTGGATGTGTTCACTGCATTGGTATCCTCTTCTATCCATCAACCGCCCATGGCTCCCCCTTCCCCCCCCACCCTCCACCCCCACTGATGGAGCATGTGCTGCACGATAGGATTACCAACTTCGTAACATCCATTATCCATCCATATGCACATTCTTATCTTCGTCCCCCCCCCCCTCCCTCGTTTCCCCCCCGCCCCGCCCACCACCCCCACCACCCCCCTTCCCTGCGTCGATAGAGCACGTGCTGCACGATAGAATCACCAACTTCGTACATCCATGTGTGTGCGCATACTTATCTTCGTTACACCCCTCCCTCCCCCCCCCCCCCCCCCCCAACCACCCCCACCACCCCCCTTCCCTGCGCAGATGGAGCACGTGCTGCACGATAGAATCACCAACTTCGTGGAGAACGATCTCAACAACCTCAAGGTGCGCTGCTGCGGTTGACTCAAGGTGCGCTGCTGCGGTTGACTCAAGGTGCGCTGCTGCGATTGGCTCAAGGTGGGCTGCTGCCGTTGTCTCAAGGTGCGCTGCTGCGGTTGACTGCAGTCTGCAGTGAGGCATCCTGTGCTCCTCACAGTGGCCTTCTTCAAGTGAGGCACGGCCAGGCCAGCCGTTCTCTGCTCATCGCGATGCAAGAAACGGCCCTGCCTCCGCTCCATTTGAAAGGCTGCTTTTGAGTCAACTCAAAATCAGTGGCCTTGTTGAAATGAGGCAAGGGCCAGCGCCAGCGGTTCTCCGTTCATCACAAGGGAAGAAACGGCCGTGCTTGCCTCTGCTCCTCTTGAGAGGCTGGCCTGCCCGGGCAATACTTGATGCAAGCACACCAGTGAAACTGCTGTGTCCCTGGCTGTCTCGGCCATTGCCATTGCCTACCCCAAGCACCGGAGCACAGAATCATGGACCGTGTGCATGATTCACGTCTGCAATTGTGCCTCATGCTTATGATGACGGCTCTTCCTCCTGCCCTCTGCACGTACTTGTCTGCCGCCCGTGCCATCTGTCTGAGCCTATCCACCCATGCAACGTTTACACATGCCATCCATCCATCCATGCCCTATGCTCATGTCACCTTCGCATGCCACTCACTTCGACTTCCCCATGCCGATCCGCCGTGGGTCACATCACATCAGGAGGTTCGGCGGCGGTATGACAAGGCTGGCCGGCACTACGACCAGGTGAGTTGCCTCAGTGTCCGGCCTGCACGGCACGATTGGCTGTTTAGCTGTCTGCATTCTGCTTTTATGATTCACTTGCAATCTATTTAGCTGTCTGCATACTTATGACCCACTTGCAATTTACTTATGGTGAATGGTATGGTCTACCTATATGATGTTCTCATAGTCTACCTGTGATGTGCCTATGGCTGCCTCTGTGCAAGAAGTACCTCTTTTACCCTAGGCAATGTCCTTGCAGCATTCTGCACTCTTCCCACCTGGGGCGCTCTTATCCCCCGTTCGCCCTGCCCTAGCCCCGCACTGTCCTTCTCCCCATGCCCCCCCGCCAGCATGCACCCTACCTACTCCGTTCCTCCAACTCCCAGCGGGTTTTTCATGTTCAGCCTAAAGATACGAGTGTGCTGCCTTACTCTTTAGGAAGAATCTTTCATGAGGTCCGCGCGAGCGAGGTTTCCTCGAAATGTGGGAAGAGCGTTTTCCACTCTCCTGCTCCCCTGTCCCCCTGGCATGCGCTCAACAGATGCGGGAGCGCTACTTGTCCCTCAAGAAGGGCACCAAAGCCGAGGTCGCGGCAGAGGCAGATGAGGTGAGGGAGGGGTGGGTGGGTGGGCGGGGTGGGTTTGACAGGTGTGAAAAAAGGACAGGGAGGGGGCTTTGACAGGAAAGAATGCTACGTGTCACTCGAGATGGGCATTGCAGAAGAGGCAGATGAGGCGAGGGGTGGGGAAGGGGACGGCAGTGGAGGTTGGGGACTAGTCGCAGGGAAGGGACTTGAAACAACTGGTTCCGACTGAGGAACGCATCGAGACGAGGAGGGGGGGGGGAATGAGAGGAGCTGGGTGGGATCTGGTGGATGAGGGAATGAGAGGAGGGAAGTGGGAAGGATTGTAATGGAGCACAGGCAGGGGGACCCTCGTTCCCCAGGCAGTGGGGAGCCATTGTAATGGCTCTGCTATTGCAAGTTGCAACCGACCGTGCTTCACTGACTGAAAGTACTCCTATTAGTGAACCCCCCATTAGTGGAATACTTTCCATGTATGGAAATCCTTCCAAGTCGATTGTGTGAGGGTGGTTTGCTGCTGCCCTACACATCTACTGACAAGGCTCTAACCCTAGCCTAGCGGTGGCAAGGCAACGCCAGGGGTGGTGGAAATAGTCTATCTACTTCGTGGATTGCAGTGCTGAAACGGTGGGACTAAACCTCAGGAGGTGGGGAAGGAAAGTGCGAAGAAAGAGTGGAAAAACGGAATGCTACGTGCACGGATTTTCTCTACTTCGTGACGGCCTTTACACATAGTGTTTGAGAGCTGATCCTTCAGAATTCTCAGAAATGTCCATGGTCCTCTTGCCAAATCGCTCACCCATGCCCCTCTCACCACCTTTGCCGCCAGGATATGCAAACGGCTCGCATGCAGTTTGAGCAGGCGCGATTCAACCTTGTAAGTCGTTTCCGCTGCACTCATCTCGCTGGTGTGGTTTGAGTCGGTCCAGAACATACCATTTAGTCACCGCAAAACACTTTGAGTGCATGCTGTATACCACTTACAGCATGCACTTTGAGCAGGCGTGCTTCAACCTTGTAACCTCATCATCACACCTGTTCGCTGGCGAATGAGTTAGTTCGCCGCCTTCCATCGCCCTTGTTCGCATGTTCCACCATTCCATAAGCCTCTTCCGACTCCTGGTTTGACACCTTCCGCCCGTCTGTCCGCCCGAGTTGCTCGAGTCCATTGGCTCTGTTAGGCCCTCACTCCTCCTCCGCTCTGCTGTCTCTTCTTACCCCATGTGCACATGTGCACAATGCATCATGTGCACAATGCATCATGTGCACAATGCATCATGTGCACAATGCATCATGTGCACAATGCATCATGTGCACAATGCATCATGTGCACAATGCATCATGTGCACAATGCATCATGTGCACAATGCATCATGGGCCATCAGATGACAGCGCTGAGCAGCGCGGAGGCCAAGAAGAAGCACGTGTTCCTCGAGTCCATAGGCTCTGCCGTGCACGCACACTTGCGCTACTTCAAGCAGGTGGTTTTAGGGTATAGGGCTTGAGGTGCCCACTTGCACTACTTCAAGCAGGTGCCGCTCAGGTTTCTGGGTTTGGATGGGTTTTTAGGGTGTAGGGCGTGATTGAGGTACCCACCTGTGTTACTTGACTCAGGTACCCAAGGAGTGCTTGCTTGGACGAGCAGCAGGTATGCCCACCTGCAAGATGCTATCTTCACATGCACCTCCCAACCAAAGCCACTCCATGTGCACATGCGATGCACCTCCTAGCCAAAGTCACTCCTTGTTTCTTGCCCGTCCCTCGCAGGGCTACGAGCTCTTGCAAGCAGTGGAGCCGTACATTCATCAGGTGCGCCAGGGAAGGGAGTGGCTTTCACATGCAGGGAGTAGGAAAGGAATGAAGGGTTTGGACCGTGTGGACATGGAGTCCTGTAGTACGCGAATAAATTGGCGCTTTGCAATGACTCAACTTCTGACACATTGCATCTCTGTGCTGCCTTACCTCATGCATTTGTCACCATCTCCCCTTTCAACCCATTGCTATCATCGGTAGCGCATCTCTCCAGCCCTCACGCTTTGCTTCAGGTGACTCATTCTCTCATGCGCCTTCATGTGTCGCTCATCCCATGCCTCTCGTGTTCAATTCCCCTCATCCTGCCTCTCAGGTGCTTACATTCTCCCATCAAGCGCAGGAGCAAGCCAATCAGGAGCAGGTGCGTGCCTGTGTGTGTGCATGCATGTGTGCATGCGTCTTTGTGCGTGCGGGTGTGTTCTGTGCGCGCGCGCGCGCGTGTGTGTGTGTGTGTGCGCGTGTGTGTGTGTGCGTGTGTGTGTGTGTGTGTTCTTGTGCGTGTGTGTGTGTGCGTGTGCGTGTGTGTGCGTGTGTGCTCCTGTGCATATGTGTGTGTGTGTGTGTGTGTGTGTGTGTGTGTGTGTGTGCTCCTGTGCATGTGTGTGTGCGCTCCTGTGCGTGTGTGTGTGTGCTCCTGTGCGTGTGTGTGTGTGTCTGAGTGCGCGCATCTCTAGAAGTCTCTCTTCCCGTGCAATATGACACCATGGCATGGCAACACCACCATGCCATGGCAACACCACCATGGCATGGCAACACCACCATGCCAGGGCAACACCACCATGGCATGGCAACACCACCATGGCATGGCAACACCACCATGCCAGGGCAACACCACCATGCCAGGGCAACACCACCATGCCATGGCAACACCACCATGCCAGGGCAACACCACCATGCATACTGCTGCATTCCTCTCCTCCCTGTTTGCTCCAACATTCCTCTTCATTCCTCACGTCTTGTCCCCGGCCGTCCTCTCTGTTCCGATACCTCTCTCAGTCCCTCTATCCGATGCTTTTGAGTCGACTCAAAAGTCCTCTCGGACCCTCTATCCGATGCTTCTTCGTTTGTCCCCCTTGCCACCACAGACAGAGCTAGCAGAGCGGATATACCAGTTTCGGCGCAACCAGGAGGAGGAAAGCGCTCAGCTGGAAGCAGCCCACACGCACGCACAGGCCCAGGCGCTGGCCCACGCAAGGGGGGGCATGGCGCGGATGTCAGTGGGAGCCATGGGGGGGGCAGAAGGCGCAGGGGGAGGCGGGGAGGGGTTTGGGCAGGGCAGGGGGCCGTACCGGCCGTCAGGGGGGGCTGCCTCCAGCAGCGTGGAGCAGATGATGCGGGCAGGGGCGGGCGGGCAGAAGCGGGTGAGTGCTCGATGGGACGGGTAGAGAAAGTTGTGGATTCCAACGAGCTGTGCTTAGAACGATTCGGTTCGGAGTGGTCAGATAACAGCATAGGAACATGGTTCGCTGGCCGGGGGATTCAAGTTTTCGTTTAAAGGCCTTTTTTGTAGGGAGATATAGGAATGGAGGCCTGACATGGGGTACCTGCTGATTATCCATTGACTCAAAGTATTCTTTTTCCTCGCCCTTTCACCCCTTCCCCCCCCTTCTCCGTTCACTGTCGTGCAGGTGCAGGTGATAAAGCAGGGGTACCTAGTGAGGCGGACTGCAGCTGCCAGGTCACGCCACTTCTTTGTCCTCGATTCAAGAGGCTCACTTTACTACCACAAAGATGCTCAGGTACATATACTCGATGTGCACACATGGTCCTTTCTTCTGTAGTAGCATGTACATGCTAAGAGCCAACCGCAAGGAGTGTGTTGAGCCCCTGACATCTCATACCTTCCCACCCCCCTCCACACTGTGTCGTCTCTCCCTCAACCTTGCCACGTTCTCTTTACTCGTCCACCTATCTTTCCTGTATCCTGCCTGCTCTTCTCGCACCCATTCCTTCTTCATCTCTCCCTTCTTTTCACTCGCCCTCCTCTCATTCCCGTCTCCTCACCCTGTGTCCACTTCCTCCCGCCTCTCTTTGCCTCCCTCCCTCCTCCAACTCCCCCTCGAAACGCTCCCTTGTCCCGCTTCTCTCTCGTCCGAAGCCGCAGGGACGCAACCCCTATAGCTGTCACCCCTACCTAACCCCCCTGCGTTCTCTATCTCCCCCTCTCCCCCCCTCAGAACGCTCGCTCCGACACGCTCTCATCACTCTTCTCTCTTGTCCGCTCGCGTGCCGACCCTACCGCCGCCGCCCCCCCGCCCCCCAACCCAATGGCCCAGCACTACCGCCCGCTGGGCCTGGGGGGAAGGGGAGGAGGGCATGGGGGGGAGGAGGGGGGGAATGAGCAGAGTGCAGGGGGGATGGGGATGGGGATGGGGGAGGAGGAGGAGAGGAGTCACTCGCTGCAGTACGAGTCGCTGAACCTGCTGACCGCCACCATCAAGATGGATGCTGACGAGCCCGACCTCCGGTTCTGCTTCCGCCTCGTCACACCTGATTGCACCCACACCCTGCAGGTAACGCTACTGCATGAATGCTGTAGCGGTAGGGTTATTATGCTTCCCTTCGTCACACCGGATTGCACGTACACTTTGCAGGTACAGGGGCTGCATACATGCTGCACAGATACGGTGGAGTTGCGCGGTTGGGATTCTTCTGTAATGTGCTGAATAAGCAGGGATTCTGTTTTACTGCATTCCTTAGTTAGTGTGCACGATGATGCATTCCTTAGCAGTGCATCATCGTGCACACTAACTAAGGAATTCGGCAACTAGCTAGTTGCCCAGTCCTCTCTCAACACGTGCACTGCTGCACAATTCACCCCACGGAATGGAAGCTGCACTGCACCTTCCAACACCGTGCCTTCCACTAATTCAAGTGGCCGTATTATTTGTGTGCGCATCTGTTGCTCCGTGGCCTGTTGCTCCGTGGCCTGTTGCTCTATCACTGGGTGGGTGGCAGGCGGAGAGTGCGGCGGAGCAGCGGGATTGGATGGAGAAGATCACTGCGGTCATCGCATCACTTCTCAACTCGCACACCACCGCTCAGGTGCCCGCTTGCTTGCCTGCTCTCGTTGCCCCCCCGCGCACGGCAGCACATGCTTCAGTTCCCCGGACCTCTCCTCTGGCCTCGCTATCTCCTCCAGTCGTTTTGCTGCTGTACCTGCTAAGGACTAGTTTCCAAAATTACCTCATGTTGCTGTCAGAGTGCCAGCTGGTGGAACGCCCGGTACTAAACTGCCAGCTCTCATCGGCTCCTGCTTTTTAGAAGATGTCTCCATGGGGGGGACGACATTATTCCCCTAGCATCTCTGCAGGTCGTTCCCACATCACTGATTGCTCAAGCAGTGACTCGGTCATGAGGTGTGAGGGGTTGGTTGAAGGGGGATTGTTCACTGCCCACGCCCCATGCCTCCCCCTATTCTCCTCCTCCTCCCATTTCGTCCCCTTCTCCCCCCCTTCTCCCCCCCTTCTCCCCCCCTTCTCCCCCTGCCCCCGCTACTATCCCTGCTGCCCCTGCTCCCGCTTCTGCCGCTTCTCCTCCCCCCACTCCCCCTTATCCCCCTACCCCCCATGCTCCCCCTTCACCCCCTGCTCCCCCTGCTCCCCCCACTCCCCTTCTCCCGCTTCTCCCCTTTCCCTCCTTCGTCACTTCCGCGCGAGGGGGACTCGCCTCCTTGGCCACAGCAGAGGTTATTTTTTAGTGGACTCAAAAGCCAGCTGGCACCACCAGCCCCAGGCTCCTCTGCATCACGTGTAGCACGCCACTGGCCACAGCAGCGCTGCCCGCAGTGGGACGTCCATTAGAGGTGCTGGGGCATGTGAGCGGCAACGACCGCCGCGCTGGCTGCAATCAGACGCACCCCCTCCCTTGCCTGTCTGCCCCGGTCTCTCATGCCGTCCCGCCTCATCCCTCTACCGGCTGGCACCAGCAGCATCGGATCTGTCTGCCTCTTCCTCAGACCCATCAGACGGGAAACCGGCGTCTCTGGCCACAGCAACGCTGCCCATAGTGGAGTGGCCATTAAAGGTGCTGGCATATGTGAGCGGCAATGGCTGACCCTTGAGTCGATTCCGCTGCGCCTACTGCGATCTGACCCTCCCTACCTTCTCTTTCCGCCATCTTTCTTGCCTTCCCATCGCCTCCCTCTACCAGCCAGCACCAGCAGCATCAGACCTATCCGCCATTGAATCATCAGAAGGGGGGCTGGCCTCACTGGCCACAGCAGCGCTGCCCATCGTGGAGCGGCCGCTGGAGGTGCTGGGGTATGTGAGCGGCAACGACCGCTGCGCTGACTGCAGCAGGGGCCACCCCGACTGGGCATCGCTGAACCTGTGTGTGCTGCTGTGCATCGACTGCTCTGGTGTGCACCGCAACCTGGGCGTGCACCGATCCAAGGTGGGCATAGGTGCGGTTCTAGTGCTCTGGTATGAAGGCTCAGCAGCCCAATGTACGAGATGCAGCTCACCCCGTCTGGGCGTCACTCTACCTGTGTGTGCTGCTGTGCATCGACTGCTCTGGGGTTCACCACAACCTGGGCGTGCACCGATCCAAGGTGCGAATGGCCTTCACACTAGTAAAAGCGAAGGCACTGCCGTCAGCTGAATTTTTTTTTTTTTTTTTTTTTTTTTTTTTTTTTTTTTTTTTTTTTTTTTTTTTGCCGTCAGCTGAATTGGTGGTCCTAACCGTGGTATGAGGCACCGCTACCTGGGGATCCCCTTAGTGCGAGTGATGGCAATCGTAGGCGACTGCTGAGGTGTAAACGACCTCTGCTCCCTCTTCCTCCCTTCTGCGTTGGCGCACTGATCTTAGACGTGATGGTGTCATCAGCACCCTTTGAGCGCCTCATAGCTATGAGAAGGAACTTATGAGGCGCCTCAAAGCCCCTTCTGCTCCCCTTTCCCATTCCACCTCCCCTCACTGACCCTAGACATGAAGGTGTGAACGGCCCCGCTGGTGCGCCTCACCGGTAACTGTCTTCTTACCTGTTGCGTGTGGGAGCAGGGGCTGCAGGGCACAAAGGCTAGATGCGTCAAAGCTTCCGTTCCTCTCCTCTCTCCCCCTTGCAGGCCCGCTTCTTAACTGTGGACGTGAAGTTGTGGACGGCTCGCTTGGTGTGGCCAATGACAATCATAGACAACAACTCCCTATGGACAACAACTCCCTATAGACAACAACTCCCTATAGACAACAACTCCCTATAGACAACAACTCCCTATAGACAACAGCACCTCATACTTCCCTTTCTGCTCCTCATCCCCTCCTTGCAGGTCCGCTCCTTGACTCTGGACGTGAAGGTGTGGACCGCCCCCTTGGTGCGGCTGATGGCCATCATTGGCAACGACTTTGCCAACAGCGTGTGGGAGCAGGGACTCAAGGACGCGGAGGGGAGCGCACTGGCAGGAAGAGAGGGGCACACAGGCGCTGCTGCTGCAGTCACGCCATGCAGCCGGTATGTGGGATTTGAGTTTGTCTGAGACAGTGTGTGGCAGTCGGGGCTGAAGGATGGTGAGAGGGACGTGCTGGCAGCCACGGATGGACAGACAGGCGCTGCTGCTGCTGCTGCTGCTGCTGCTGCTAATGCTGCTGCTGCTGCTGCTGCTGCTGCTAATGCTGCTGCTGCTGCTGCTGCAGTGACGCCATGCAGCTGGTATGCGGTTGCGTGACAGCGTGTGGGAGCAGGCCTCAAGGCCGCACAGAGGGGTGGCACATACGCACAGTTAGGCAGGGCTGGGAGGCCGAGTGCTGCTGCTGCTGCTGCTGCAATCACCACATGGAGCCGAAATGGGTGTTTTGTGTTTTGTCCGTGACAGCGTGTGGGAGCTGGGGCTCGAGGGTGCAGAGAGGGGTGGCACGTGTCGGACGCACATGTGCACTGGAAGGAAGGGATGGGCGTCCAAGTGCTGCTGCTGCTGCTGCTGCCGCCGCCGCTGCTGCTGCTGCCAGCACTAATGCAGGTGCAGCATAAACCCCACATACCGGCTGCATGGCGCAGCATTGTGCGGCACCTGCACCTCCTGCCAACGCTAATGCAGGTGCAGTCTGGGCTGCAGTCTGTGGTGTGGGCCTTCAGTCTGTGCTGGTGTGGCCTTGCTTCGGGTCTCATTCAGTGCCCTCTTCTCGCCTCCCTGTGCCATCGCCTTGCTCACTCACGTCCTCCTCCCCTACTCACTTACGTCCTCCTCCCATACTCACTTACGTCCTCCTCCCCCACTCACTTCCGTCCTCCTCCCCTACTCACTTACGTCCTCCTCCCCTACTCACTTACGTCCTCCTCCCATACTCACTTACGTCCTCCTCCCATACTCACTTACGTCCTCCTCCCACACTCACTTCCGTCCTCTACCTTCTGTCTCATTTTTTCCCTTGTCATCCGCCAACCTTTGGCTCTTTCCCCCCCTCCTCCCTCTCCTCTCCCCCCCTTCACCCTCCTCGCTTCCCTACACCATGCCAAAACCATGTCCCCATGCAGTGTGGGCAGCGAGGAGGGAAGGATAACATCCTACTAGCCAAGGGTGGAAGCAGCGCATCAGCGCTCGGATCCCTTCCCCCTGCCCTCCCTTGCTTTCCCCCACACCACACCAACCATGCAAATCCATGTCCGCATGCAGTGTAACGAGCAAGGAGGGGGGGGATAACATCCTACTAGCCAAGCGTGGAAGGAGCGCATCAGCGCTCGCATCTTTGCCGCTTACCCCCACCACCTCCTCCAACTTTGCTTCCCTGCATGCAAATCCATGTCACTGTGCAGGGCGGACAGCGAGGAGGGGGAGGACTACATCCTACTGGCCAAGGACGGGGGGAGCTCGTCAGTGCTCGAATCTCCCACGGCAGCTTCTGCTGTTGTGCGCAAGCCAGCAGACACGGACTCGCTGGCGGTCAAAGAGCAGTATATCAGCTGCAAGGTCAGACCAGCGGGAGATCTGTTGCTCACTGAGTGGTGCATAGTATCTGTGGCAGGGCACTTCAGTGGCAGGGCACTTCAGTTGCAAGATCAGAGCTGCTGAGTGGTGAATGAGATGCAAGGTGCATGAGATGCAAAGTTCATGGGATGGACGGTCATATCAGAGGAATAAACACCCCTTCCTTATCGTCTCACCCTCCTCCCCTATATTACCTTTTGCGTCACCTCTCCCCTCACTAGAGTACGTGGCACGCTGCTTCCTCCCGCCCACCACCGAGACCCCCTCACCAGCCCTGCAGCAGCTGCGAGCAGCAAAGAGCAGTTGCCTCCCGCCATGCATCGTTTCACCACCCTCCCAACTATTTCTCTGCTTTCCCCACACCAGTCTCTCCTCTCCCCCCCCCCTTAATTTCACCTCTCCCTTTTCCCCTGACTACAGTATGTGAACCGTCGCTTCCTCCCGCCCACAACTGAGACCCCCTCCTCGGCCCTGCAGCAGCTGCGAGCAGCAGTCGCCTCCTGCGACGTCCGCGCCGCCTTCCGCCTCCTCGTCACCACCCCCGTCGACGTCAACGCTGACGTGGATGCGGCCTTTGCCAGCACGGCGCCAGCTGGACCGGGAGCCACAAGGGGTGGAGCAGCAGGGGGGGGAGGCAGTGGTGGAGGGGTGGGGCTAACAGGGTCAGGGCAGAAGCTGCTGCACGTGGCGTGTGAGAGGGGGGACGAGGCGATGGTGGAGCTGCTGCTGCTGTGGGGGGCGGCGGTGAATGCAGCTGATGCTGCTGGCCGGACGCCCATGCAGGTGGCGCTGCAGCATGGCAACCATGGGTGCTCGAAGCTGCTCGCTAGCAGGTGGGTAGGGTACTGCCTTCTTTCAGCAGAAAATGGGTCTGGCAGCTTTTGCCCCTTTTAGAGGCTTGTGCTGTGGGTTTCCTCCGTTCCCCTCGTTTTTGCTGGTTTTCCGATGAACGTTCGTTGGTGGTTGTTGCAACGATGGTGTTGCATGATCGTTTGGTTTGGATGGCCGCCGGGCGACTTCCCCCAACTGGCATCTTCACCATGGGGCAGTTCACCAAGTGCTGTGTTTTCTGGCATTGTACGATCTCATGCAGGGTGTAATCCAATCCAAGCCGTTGTAGAAAGGGAGCTGATGATTCCCTCCCTGACTTGCTGTACGGTATCCTTTCTAGCGTTTCTTGTGCGAATGTTCCCAATGTCAAAGCTGGCATGATGACTAGTGCCTACTACCATCTGATGCTACTGGAAATATGCATTGTACTTGCGCATGTTTGCGATCTTCAACTTGAAGCCATTTCATCCCTCTCAAGGGTCATCATTAGAACAGGGGCAACCGAATGTCGAAACAGTTAAACAAATACGTGTTTGTCTACTGTTAGGATACGTGTTCGGGTTCGGGGTGTAGCCGAACTGCCAAGTAGCGAGAATGAACGTTGCGGAAAACACTCATGGGAAGCATTTATAGGTGAAAGCACTACGGGTGCCAGTAACGTCTAGCGATGTGGCTGAAGACATTTAGATAGCACGCGAGTTCGGAGCAAGGCTCAACAAGCGCGACCTTATTTGGCGAATGACTCGGTAGTGCAGACCAGGGCCCAAATTAGCCAGGTGAAATGCCCTGATTGCCCTGATTTTTCAGGGCATTTTTTCATTTGCCCTGATTACCCTGATCCAAAAAGTGTTACGAAAATATTACCCTACCGAAACTAGGGTTGCGGGGCCCCGAACCCTGACCCTTCAGGGCGTCCTGAAAACATTTCCCCCAAAACTCCGAGATTGAAACTCCGAGATTCCGACTAAGTCCTTGGCGGCCAGAAACATTTCCCCCAAAACACCCTGCAACCAAAAATTTCGACTAAGTCCCTGGCGGCCAGAGTCATAGCTCCCTCACCCCCTCGCAACCCAGAAATGGCTAAGTCCCCCATAAGAGACATGCCTCCCACCCACACCCCCGCTAATTTTTTTTTTTTTTTTTTTTTTTTTTTTTTTTTTTTGCTAAGTCCTCCACACCACAGCAAGACACGTCACGTCGTTTACGCCCTTCTGACACCCAACCAATCACGAGCAGATGGTTTTTTTCCCGCCCCTCTGCCGCCCATGTAAATCTGATTCCCCTCTCGCGCCCCAGAATCGTTTTCCGCCCATCCCATCCCCCAATCTCCCCCAGCACGCGCAAATCCGCTACACACTTCTTTCCACACCTCAGTGCTGCCCACTTCATTCATGTAAAATGTTCCTTAAATGGCCAAGGCTAGAAAGGGTGCAAAGAGTTCTACACTTGAAGCAAAGACTTAAAATTTTTTTTACTCTGCCAAATCAGACTTATAATTTTTTTAGCTCTGACCGTCAGGGTATTTTTTTTTTCCTACTCTGATCTCAAAGAGTGGCCTAAAACCAATTTTGGGCCCTGGTGCAGACGTGGGTCGGATTGGCAAAATGCGACGGGCGAACAAGGTAGGGCCAATGGCGACGGCCAGGCCCCACGATAATAGGATTTTTACGCTTTCTACTTTTTCTTTCGGGGTGTTTGCTTGTACCGACCCTGATGAAAAAAGTTTTTTTTTTTTTTTTTTTTGATTTCACCCTCAGCCTCTCAGCTCCAGTTCCTGAGCCCAGTGGTCCTTACGCAGAGCTGGTGGGTTGCCTCGTGTACCTGATGACTGCACTCGCCCAGGTTTCTTATACCCCCTCAGCATCATGGCCCGCTTTGTGGCCACAGGCAGACACCGACCACAGCACTGGTCGGCCGCTAAGAGGGTTTTGCGTTATCTTGCAAGTACATCGGACATGGGGCTAGTGCTGGGAGGACGCAGGCCAGTGGTCCTTACTGGGCACACAGACGCTTCTTGGGCAGACGACGCTGAGACACTCCGGTCCTCCCAGGGCTACTGCTTCAGTCTTGGTTCTGGTGCCAACTCATGGAGGTCCACTCGCTCCTCGTCTGTTGCTCAGTCTAGCTGCGAGGCTGAGATCTACGCTAGTGCCATGGCGGCACAGGAGATCCGCTGGCTGACCTTCTTGCTTGCCGACTTAGGTGAGCGGCCTAGCTCTGCCCCGGTTCTGTACGCTGACAACAGGGCCATGATCCTCCTGTGTCAGGAGCCTCGACTTGAGGGCAAAGCGAAGCACATCCAGCTGCGGTACTTCCTCTTGCGCGAGCTTCAGCAGCGTCGCCAGGCCCGCGTAGTACACTTGGCCTCCGGTGCCAACACAGCTGATATCTTTACTAAGGCGCTTCCGCCTAGAGATCATCGGCGGCACTGCTTGCAGTTAGGTCTAGTCCCTATTGACTCTCACTTGCTAGGCCCTTGATTGTGTACTCCTTTCTATTTATGCCTTGCAGACTGGCCTTGTGGCTTTTCCTCCAGTGGTTGGACTAGTAGTGCCGCCCTAGTTTGCTCTGTCTTGCTTGTACTCTTGCTGACTGGTCTTCGGGCCCCTTCCTTAGAGGTTGGACTAGTAGTGCCACCCTGAGCTGCGTGTTTCTTGCTCAGCACTACCCCTTATCTAGCCGAGGGGTTGTGTCAACTTATACATATATTGCTATGTAGAAGTTATAGGCTAGATAGGGTAGGTTCTTAGTGGGTACAACCCAAACGCTATATCTCCCCTGTTCTCCCTTCTTCTGTTAATTCTTTCTAGTCTCAACAGACTGATGTTTCAGCGTTTTGTTTTCTGCAGACACTGATGCCTCAGCACACTAACGGGGATCAACACTGAAACAAACACCCTACGAGATTTACTATACCGAGTTTCCCCCAAGCCAGACGGAGCTGTGAGTCCGCCATCACCACGACTGCAGCAGCGGACTGCCGCTGACAAGGAGGAGGAAAGGCGGAGGAGGGCGGCGGAGAGCGGTAGAGAGGTGGAGTGCGGTGGAGAACGATGGGGAGCAGTGGTGTGTGGTGGAGTGCGGTGGAGTGCGGTGGAGAGCAGTGGAGACAGCCGGCAAGAGTGTCGGCTCAGAAGGGAGCCAAGGCCGGTAGGTCGGGGCGGCAGAGCGGCACGGCGGCGCAGCGACACGGCGGCACTGCAGCTTGGCGGCTGGACGGCGCGGGCTGTGGCCGGCGGAGCCGGTGCCAATGGAGCTGGGGGCCAGCGAGCTAGAGGCCGGCTAGCTGGGGACCGGCGAGCTAGGGCCTGGCGAGTGCGGGGCTGGCGAGCGTGGGGCGGGGCCAGCGGGTGCGGGTCTGGCGAGCGCGGGGCCAGAAAGCGCGGGGCCAGCGGGTGCGGCGCTGGCGAGTGCGGGGCCAGAAAGCGCGGGGCTGGCGAGTGTGGGGCTGGCGAGCGTGGGGCAAGCGAGAACAGGGCCAGCAGGCGCGGGGCTGGCAAGTAGGGGCCAGCGAGCGGCTGGCAGCTACGATCTGCTGGCGGCTACGGTCGGCTGGCGGCTACAGGCAGCCAGCGCCTACAGGCTGCTGGTGGCTACAGGCGGCACGAAACGGGACAGCTAGAAATGGGCGACTAGGGCTAGGACTAGGGCAGAAGCGCGTGTGGGCGGGGAGGACCTAACCTAGTGCATGATACCATCTCAGAGTTAGAAAATTGACTAGAATGAGAGATACAAGGTGCTTTTGTGCTAAGGGGTTGTACTCTCTAAGAGTACGCACCTATCTAGCTTATGCTGCAATTCAGACTGTTATGAGGTTGCATAAGCAGTGCCAATAGCACTTTTGATTATAACCTCATTGCCACAAACACATGAACTGCAAATCTAAAGGAGCAATGCAGTATGAAGCTGGCATTGGCATCAGCCTATGCCAGCACCATGGGCTGATGGGAGGAGGCATCAGCTTTGACTCCAGGTGGCCTGACACTGTGGTCGATGTGGCTGTATTTCAGCATCACCTGCATGCCATGCGCACACAACACAGCAGGGAAGGGGGTGTTGAGATCTGCGTCACTTCGAGGTTGGTATTTCTGGGATGTGAGGCAGGTGAGTGTGAGACCAAAAACAAGCGATGGATAGGGGCCTAGGGAGTGAGAACTGGCGGAGACATGAGGGGGGAGAAGGTGCAGTGGGTTTTACACTGATAGATTGCAGCATTGCCTTGCTGATTGCCTTCCCTGTCCCCTTCCCTCTGCCCATTAGTGGCACATTCCACATGCCTTACCAACCCCTCTCTCCCGCCTGAACATTCTTCCAACCCCCCTGCCTCCCCACTTCCTCCCCCCCCCTCCCTCTATCCCACCCGTCTCCAAACCCGCACTCTGCCATACCCTCCCCTATCCCCTCCACCCCCTTACCCGCCGCACTCTGCCATACCCGCAGGACGGGAGGGGCAGGGAGGGAGAAGGGTGTGGGGAAACCTGAGGATGGGAGGGAAGAGGAGGAGGAAGGGTATGGGGAGGCCTGGAGGAGGGGAGGGGTGGAAAAGCGTTAGGACTTGCGGAGTGGAAAATACAGGAGGGGAAAGGGGAGGAGGGGGGGGGGGAGGGCAGCGAGGTTTGGTGGCGAGAAGATGGTATGGGGACTGCGGGATGGGTGCCGAGGCATGGGCACTGGCACACTTCGTGGCTTTGGCACCCATTCCTCATTGTCGTCACCCAACTTGCCGTTGCCCACTGCTGCATCGAATCCATGGCCATTGCGAGTACGCAAGTGTGGCTGGGTGAGGGGGGGCAGTATGGGAGAGGGGGCGAGAGAATGAGGGAGGGGGGAAGAGAAATGGAGGTGTGGTGAGTGGAAGGGAAGTGGTGGAACAGCAAGGGAGGTGTGGGGAGTGCAAGGAAGGTTGGGGGAGACCATTCAGATGGGGGGAGAGGAGAGAGAGCGGGGATGTGTGAGATGCGTGATATCAGGGGAGGGGGAAGGCAGGAGAGCAAGCAGTGAGTGAGAAGTGATATAGGGAAGGGAGAGAGGGGTACGAGCAGGGAAAGAGAGAGTGCATGGGAGGGGGAGATAGGTGAGAGCAGGAAAGGGGAGAGGCATGAGAGCAATGGAGGGAGAGAGGTGTTGGGGAAGGCAGCAAAGAAGGAAACATACTTGGTAGTGGCACACTGGGTAACTCGCAAAACCAGAGCGCATGATCAGGGCGTTGTTGTCATTCCTCTGCATCCCCCCCTCTCTCGCCCTGCATCCCCCCCTCTCTCGCCCTGCATCCCCCTCCTTCTCGCTCTGCATCCCCCTCTCTCTCGCTCTGCGCCGCGAATGCATTGCGGATATGCCCTGATTCAAGAGGCGCTGCATCTCGTTGCGCACCCTCTCCCTCGTGGCGCTATTATGCCCTCTCGTATAACGTCCTAAGTCGAGCCATCCCAAATTCTGTGAGGTCGAGGTGGTGGGGATTATCCGACGTACTACAGAGTTGCGTTGTAGATCTTCCCATC